AATGTTATGTAATAAAGGTGATAAAGTTAATAGGGTAACTTAAATGTATTGCTTTTCCAATCCCATACAAGATCACACTTTTGGATTTTCTTCTAGTAAAATTTAAAATGTAAAATAAAATTATTGAAAAAAAGATACAAAATTCAAACTTCATATCAATAGGTTAGGAAACCAAAACCTTAAAAGACAAGTATATATGTGTTAAAACATGAGGTGTATTTGACATTGGATCAAGAGAACAATGGTGAATTCTTCGATTCTAACATCTTTGACTCATGTGGTCTTGGTGGTGAAAATTCCCTTTTTGGTGAAAGATCATATAGAAACAAAAAGTAAAAGTGAAGGCATGAAGAAAAGTCTAAAAGAAAACCTAGACACAAAGGCTAAGAAAAGCCTCTCAAAGAAACCCTCTACTTATTTGGGCTCTCATCCCCTTATTGGAAGGAGGAAATCCCAAACCTTCAAATAATTGGCTGAGAGAGTTGTCAATAAAACCCTCTATTTAATTATTTGGGTTATCATCAAGTTTGTTTTATCAACAATCCTGACTTATTGTTTGTCTTGTTTTCTCTTGATTAAGAAAACTTATAAATCCTTTGTAAATAATCAAAAATGTTTTTGGTAGGGCGATAGTGAGCAAAGGAAAAAGGATGAGATGGGTCAGATGGACTCAAATTTGTAAAAATAAGTCCAATGGAGGGCTTGACTTTAGAGATTCCCATTCCTTTAACCTAGCTCTACTAGTTAAGTTGGTTTGGCATTTGTCCTATGACTCTTCTAGCTTGTTGGCTAGAATTTTAAAAGCAAAATACTTTCCTGAGTCCCACTTTCTCCATGCATAGTTGAGAAGTAGACCTTTGTGGGGCTGGAGAAGTGTTATTGCAGGAAGATAAGTGTTAAAAAATGGCATCTATTGGAAGGTTAGTAGTGGTTCGGATGCGAGAGTATGGGATAACCCTTGGATTCGGGGAATTTAGGGGTTTAGGCTAATGGGTCCTAGACTAGAGAGTTCAACAAATATGGTAGTTGTCGATCTTATTGACCATGAAAATAGATGTTATAACAGGGAAAAATTAATCTCTTATTTCCTTGGCTTTGCCTAAAATATCTTGGAGTTGGACCTTTCCTCTATCCCTTAGAATGATAAATTAACTTGGGTTGGTAGTAAAAATGGAAATTTCTTAGTACAATTAGCCTCCTCCATTGTTGAAAATTGCAGGAGTAATCTACTCCCTCTTCTAGACTAAGGTTTGACAAAAGCTTTTGGAATTTGATTTGGGAATTACCAAATCAAACACTTTTTGTGGAGATGCAATATTGATGGATTAGTTGGAAAAAAACTCTTCAAAAGGGGCTTGGTTGTCTTAGATGCATGTGATAAGTGTGATAATGAGTTTGAATCTACTTTACTCTCCCTCTTACTGTGTGATAAAGCCAGATAGATTTGGTTGAGCTTGGGTTTAGGCCTTAATCTAGAGCATGGTAGCTATGGTTTTGGGTTAATGAAAGCTTCTTCTTCATTGGTAGTGGAGGCAAAGGCCCTTTTGAATGTGACAATTTTTGTAGGTTAATTAGGAGTAACAAATGTTATTTTTGAATTTGACTGTTCTTGCTTAGTGAAAGCTCTTAGACATGATGTTGTGGTTGAAGCTTTTGAAATTCTCTCTTTTTTGCCAAGATATTAAAGTCTTATCTATAGGGAAATGTTTTAAACTTTTAATTTTATCTTTTGCTCGAGAGAATCTAATGGTGCAGCTCATGCTGCTACAAAGCAAGGTAGATTGCCAAGCTTTAAGTCTAGTGCTTCAAACCCGCTTGTTTCTCTGATGTTTTAAAGTTGGATTTATCTTTTTGTTGTGGTTGTTGTTGTTTTTTTCTTTTTTTTTTTCGGTTTCCTTGTTGTTCAATTGTTGTTCTTATTGTTTTAATGAATATGCTTTCTACCAAAATCAAAAAAAGATACTAGAGTAGATGGAAAGTCACGTGCGACTTTCTTTTAAGCTACTTGTAAGTTGTAAGAGTGTAAAAAGAAACCTAGAGACAACTAGTACAACTCTTAGGAAAACATGTAAAAGACAACAACTACATGCCTTAAGTACTAAAGTTCTTAAAAACTAAAAAACCCTTAACCCTACTATATGTTCGGACTGGGCTAGGTTTTTCAGGCCTAATGTTTTCTGCACCCAGGCTTGTCCCATATTTCATACGAGCTTGGTACAGGCCTGGATCAGGCCAAGCCAAGAAAAATAAAATAGACACCCAAGCTAGGAATTTTCTAGGATGGGAAGCCGGGTTGGGCTGGGCCATAAATGATCATCCTTAGAGGTAGTTCTTGCTTAGACCGCCCCTGCAAAATTTTGAAAAAGAAAACTTAAAAAAGAGAGCACAAGATCAAACTTCAAAGTATCCATACACATCATTTGGCATATCGGGTGTATCAATATTTTGAACCTTGTAGATAATTCCCATTTCCATGCAAAAACCAATATTCTCTCATAGAGGTGTAAAACAGGCCCATGGGCTAAGCCTTGGGCCAGGTCGGGCTGTGCATCGGGCCAAAGCTATTTATTTAAAAAAAACTAACAAAAAACTTAAAATTTTAATTTTATATGAATTTTGTTGTATACAATTGCTTATATATACAATAATTAAATAAATTAGTCTAATAAAATAAAAAAATATTTATTTTATTAATATATTATATACTACATATTATTATATAATTATAATTTATATAATATTATATAAAAATATATTAATAATACATAAATAATATATATGGGCCATGCCAGCCTGTCCCGTGGACCTAAAACCCCAGGCCTAGCATGGCCCACACGGTCGTGCTGGGCCTGGCACGGCTCGTGGACCGTTGTGTTGGGCCATGCCGGGTCGGGCCAAATTCGTGTTGGGCCGCGGGCGGCACAACTCGATTTACACCTCTATTCTCTCATGAAATGAAATAAAATAAACTCTATGGAAAATCAATTTTGGTTTGATCAAATAACTTGCATAGGAGATTGCAAAAAGTATTAACCACAAATTTAAAGATTAGCAAATTCAAATGAGAAATGCCTATAAACTTGTTGGAAAAAAGAAAAACTTATCCATAGTAGTAAAAATTACTCTCATAAAGTTTGGGTCCATTTGGTTCACAGTTGGAATTGGAATCAGAATGGTCTATTCCCCTCACTTGTCTGGTTTAGACTAGAATAAAAAAATCGGATGGAATGGATTTTCACTCCAAGGGGAGGGGAGGGAATGGCCACTCCCTCAAATGGGGGAATGTCATTCCACCATGAATGGGAATGGGATTCCAACTCTGCCCTACCTAATGGTTGCACCATTCCAATTCCAATTCTGAACCTCTATTCCTGCAAACCAAACATACTCTTTGTCATTAAGATCGTGTTTGATTTGACATTAAATAAGAAGTAGAAAGTTAAGGTGTTAAGGGAGAGTTCTTGAGGTAATCTAAACATTCCGTGGAGAGAAAGAGAGTTGGTCAAAGAGTGTAGAGCCATTGTAAAGGAAGCTGGTTTGTCAACTTGATGCTCTCACATCCGTAAGGAACAAAATCAAGTGGGGGTGTTGGGGAATGTGAAATGTTTTGTTTTTTTTTTAAACAAAGAAAAATACATTCCACATCAGCAAAAATATAACTAAGGGGGTGTTTGACAATGTGAATAGTTTTGTTTTCTAAAAAAAGCACATGTCATGTCAACAAAAATATAACAAAGAGTTACAAAATGCCATCCTATGAGGTGTATGACTTAAAAAACAAACAAAAAAACAAAAAAAAAGAGAGTTTCCAATTTGACAACATTAGCCTGGTTTCTTGAATCACATTATAAGTTTTTGGAAAAATCTATGCTACTGAACAGACATGATACTAAAAGAGCTCGACCAATCAAAACCAACATTCATTGAATTTTTATAAATACCACCTCATTTTTTTTTTTTAAATGGAATACCACCTCATTGGTTACCACTGTCATGACACTGATTGATTGGTTACAAGTTTTTTTAGTATCATATCTTATCATGATTAAATTGTAAGTTTTTTTAATCACCAATTGAACACCACCTTAATTTTTTATTAAGGAAAATTCTATGATACTGGAAAGACATCATACCGAAAAGTTTTGACCAATCACAATCTCGATGAATTTTGATGAAAACCCCACCTGATTGATTCTTAATTTTATGATGCTGGTTAGTTGGTTATAAATTTTTTAGTATTATTGTCTTTTTGGTATCATAGTCGAATTCTTTTATTAATTATAAGGTTTACTATATTTGTTATATACTTATATTGTATGATTCAACGATCACTAACTTTATATTACATTTTTAAAACTTAAAAATTGTTGATATATACATACACATATGAATTTAAATATAATACAATAATTGCACAATAAGCTGTGCTTGATTTGAAGGAAAAAGTAGATAAAGAAAGGAAAAGATAAAGAAATCTTTACAAATCTTGTATTTCCCCACCTATTCCTTCAAACTAAACATAGCATAAATAAAAAAAAAGTAATCACTTTGAAGAAGTTACATAAATTGTTTAATTTTTAAAAATAGCAATCATATTAAAAATATCATATGATCTAATTACTTTTGTCACATATTCGTTACTATAATTCACTAATGAAATTTCAATTTATCAATTTTTTTATAAATGGTTTGACTTAACCTCTCGATTCTCACTCCTACGGTTTTGGGATTTGGTCCAAACAGCCATTGCAGCCATGCATTGCGAATATTTCCCTTGTCCTTTGATGTTCCCGATGTACGGCTGTAATGGTCGTGGGAAACCTATGTTCGGACCGGATCCGGACTCGTTTCTACCCTGTAATCCTATATAACCGGGCCTAATTGAACTACAACCCGATCCAACCCAAAGTTCGGGCTAACTCAGCCCAAGTTGCAATCCCTACACGAGTGTAAATTGTGACTTGTGACATCGTACGTAACGCCTTTAGCAAACGCCGGGTGCATTCTACGCACCCACAGTACGCCCAGCTCTCTCCATAACCTTCGTGCATTTCCCAGTTCCCTCTCTCTCCATCTCCCACAGTACGCCTAGCTCTGCATGCCATAACAATGTTCGCTCCAGTAGTTCGTCTTGCGAGCAAAAAGTTGCTTGAGATTCATCAAGTATTCTATCAGCCTCCCCATGTGCTAATCTGATCCTTCTCTCTCTTAACTTTTTTCCCTTGCATCTCTCTTTTAATTCATCAATTGTTACATTGTATTTTGCAGGCCTCTGGTTCTTTCTCCACTGCTCTGAATTATGTGAGTCTCATTTTCCACTAATAAACATCATAATTGCAGTCTCGAATGTATTTTGGTTAGTTACTTAATCATTTTGTTTTTCATGAATTGACCTATGTAAAGCATATCGATTCTCCGGATAACAATCCCGACATTCCGTGGGAATTCAGCGAGGCGAACAAGGAAAAGGTAATTGACTCCCATGGATCAGATGCAGGTCATTATATATTTACATATGCTTTGTGTGCAATCCAGTTATGTAATTATACTATGTTTCTACTTTGGTTGTGGTTTGTTTTCCGTATTTGAGCTCAAGCTTATTCTTTTGGATGGAACTCTTGGTCTACATCTAATAATGTTCGACAAGAAAGGGGTTCTGATATATAAACCACTTGATTTGTGATTATGAGTTCCTTCATCCTGGGACTGATAGATATAGATTATAAATGTACGTAATTATTTGATAATGTTCCACCGGACATTTAATTATAACGTATTCAAGGCATTAGTTGAAGTATTATTTGTACCTTAGGCTTAGTTTGGAAGGAGTACAAATACAAATATGTAGAGTGCAAAATCATGTATTTTGTATTATTTTGTATGTATTTGTACTCTGATCCGTAACAGTTAACAGCACCCACCAAAGAAGAAGAAGAACCATCGTTTGTTGAATGATTGACACCTGGTATTTGTATCTCTAGGTCAAGGAGATATTGTCTCACTATCCATCCAACTACAAGCAATCTGCAGTTATCCCTCTACTTGATCTGGCACAGCAACAGCATGGAGGGTGGCTACCTGTATCAGCAATGAATGCAGTATGTTATCATTGCTAAATTCCTTGTTTTTTTTTTTTGGAATTTTGTGTCAATAAATTGATACATCTGAAGGCAGTATATCTAAATGCTCTGTTCACTCTATATTTTGTAGATAAGCTATTGGGACGCATACTTGATTATTTAATGTAAGAATAAGATCCAACATGACTTTCATGTGGGTCTTGTCATTGACAGTTAGTCCTATGGGTCATAAATAATACCCAACATGGTTCTGGTTATTGCACCAGATTTTGTGTATCTCCTAAAAGAAAAATTGAGTCTATATGCTATTATGCTTTTCTTATTTAATTTTTAAAACATCCGTTCAAATTTCTGTATGCTTTTTTAGGATTACCTGTTTGTGCTTAAATAGCATTAAAATTGACTAGTTGAACAATAGTGAGAAAATTAGTATCACATAAATTTGAACCTTGATAGATGCTGCAGTGGGAATCCAGGTATTCAGGCATTGGTGGGGCATTTGGAATCCACAATGGGGATATTCCAATGGTATATTCTGGCCCTATTGGTTTTGGAAACTCAATTAGAGTGAAGTTTCTCCTCTCCAATCTAAGTCTGAGTAGATCTCCTTTTTTTTTTTTTTTTTCCGGGGTGGGGGGGGGATTGATAGACTGGTATCATCTGACTAAGGAATGAATCTGCAGGCCCTAGGGAACCCCTGCGGTCAGTGGTTGTAACATCTCATGAAGTGGAGTGTGTTGATTCAGAATAGGGGTGCCAATGGACTGGTTTTGGGTTGGACCCTAATTTATATTGGATTGGGTTGGATTGATCCAATATCTGGTCCATTGATAGAAGATAGGAATTTGGAATTGCTTTTCCTCCCTCTTTGGATGCTTTTGGTCTCCTCCTGACAGGTTAGAAGGATTGTTTATCCCTCCTGTTTTTAGCTGTACTAAAAGGAGGGGCAGGATCCTGGGGAGATGTGTGAGAGCAGCGATACCATGGACAGTTTGGGAGGAAAGGAATTCAAGAATATTTGAAGAAAGAGAAAGGAGTAAGGAAGCCTTGGTGGAAATCATAACCTTGAGAGTGGCACAATGGGCAAAAAGTTTGAAACTGTTTTCAGACTTTAAGGTTGAAGACTTTTTTAGGGCCTGGGCTGTTATTGTTGCTTCATCTTCTAGAAGACAGAAACCTGCTGAGATGTGGCCACCCCCATTATGCGGCTGGAAGAAACTGAATTTTGATGGGAGTTGCTTGGGTTACCCAGGCCCCTTAGGGATGGCCGATGGGGGGTGGGGTAATTAGGGATGAGGAAGGAAACATCATAGCCTTATACTCAGGGCCTGCTGAACAGGATGATGTGACAAGAGCAGAACTGTTAGCTGCAGTATATGGGGTTGAGAAGGCAAAGGAGTTGGGCATCGATAACTTAGTCATTGAGGGTGATTCGAGAACTGTTGTGAAATGGCTGAAGGAAGGAGAGGGGGTGACACGGCACCTGAGGAATGACTTCAGGTGTTTTAAATGGTTAGCAAAGGACTTGACTATCAGAGTTAAGTGGGTGAGAAGAACTACCAACAGCTTGGCAGATGGTCTAGCTAAGCAAGGGGTACACAGGACTCAATTGTAATATCTGGGTGGGGTCAGTTTTTCATAGCTGTGCTTTTCTTCTTTTTTCACAACCTCTTGTTGTACTCATGCCTATTTTTTAGTAATGAAATCATTTCTGTGTTGCTGATCAAAAAAAAAAAAAGAAGATAGGAATATAGGTGTCGATGGACCAGGTTTGGGTTAGAATTAATCTAAACTAAAACAAACTTGAACAGATTGGACGGTCCAAAATATTCATTGGATTGGATTGGACCTGGTCCATTTGTGATGGACTCACGTTGGACTGGATCGGATTGGACCAAATCCAGTCCAATTGACACCCTTAATTCAGAATCCCTGTATGACACCAATTGTTCTGGTTGGGGGGATCCATGAATTAAGTATTACGGTAGGATGCATAAATGCGTGAGAAAAAAGCTGGAACTTTCTCTTGTTCTACCAAGAGGGCATGTAGAAGAGGTAGGTGTTAGTTGAAAGTGAAGCTGGTTCATCTACAGGGGTTGATGAAATTACAATTTTGTTGTTGTGCTTCTCTAGTGCTCCTATTTTGATCTTAGTAAATCCATTATTGATGAAACAAAAAGCAAAAGGCACATTAATCATCCTAAAACATTACAGCCCAGAGCAGCCTACTTCAGCCTCTGGACAGCTAAGCTAAAACCTTAAGAAATAATACTTGGTAGCTAGAAAATCTGATGTTCTATTGATTTTCATGTTCCAGTGAATGTGCCATAAGGAATGCATATTTTGGTTCAGTGTATTGTGTTTACTAGCCAAAGAATCCATTTGCCTGGATAAGGAAGTTCTGATCCAAGTGTTTATTATATCAACATGGAGAGAGCAGTTGTTATTTAGGCATAAAGATCTAGGGGTACTGTGAAGCAGATGATCCAGAACTTGTTAGTTAGGAGCTATGGGGGGTTTGAAGCAAGGTGATCATTTGTCCCTTTAATCGTTTATCTGTGGGGCTGAAACTTTAAGGATTTCTTCTGGTAGATTGAGGCCATTATACCTCATTGTGATGATAAGCAGATGATTCCCTCATTTTCATAGAATGCTAGTTGTGAACGACATTGTTAATGCTATAATGCTTTTTGGACTGTTACCAATAAAAATGCTATAATACTTTTTAGTCATTTTAAGACTATCTACTGAATTTTTCGAAGTTGAGAGTTTTAGAGTTGGAGAAAATTTCATTTCTGAAAACGGAGGACTTTGTTGGTGCATTGTGTTGCTTTGTAGAAAAATTTCCTTCTTATCTTTGACTTGTATTGGTTTCTAGTTATGTTGCACAAAGGCTATTCAGAAGGAGGTTAGCTCTACTGAACTCTTCATATATATCTAAGGGGAGGTAAGCTTATTCTTGATAAAAGTATAGATGGAATCCACTGCACCATTATTGTTGTTGTTGTGGTGTGGTAAGAGAGTGGAAGGATGATTTGGTTGATTAGGATGAGGTTATTCCTTTAGTTGTGTTTGATCAAGAAGAAAATGGAATAATGTAAAAGAAAATTTAAAAGGGACTTTTCTTAGTTTGGCTGGCAAGGGAAACCAAAAGAAAAGAAAAAAATGACAAAATAGGAAAATGGTTGCAGAAAATCTTGTATAGACCTTTAAAGAGTGCTGAAGGATAAATATTATTGCAGTCTCAAAAAATGGAATAGAAGTTGTTTATCACTTGAGCTTTTTCTTTTTTATTTTTGAAAATGGAAGTGTATTATATAAGGGGAAGCACCATAAAAAAAGGTTGTGAGCTTGAGTATTCATTAAACTGAAAGGTATTTTACAAAATTCCAGCAAAATTTACTAAAGGAATTGATGATGGAGTTAGAAGCAGGATGGGGATATCTTTCTTATAAAGTTCCTTTGTAGCTCCAGGCAAGGGGTTGTTGTATTTGTTTGAAAGTGTCTTAAGAGGGAGTTTTTCATTTTCATCTTTGATGTTTATTGGAGGGTCCCATCAGGTTCATGAGCTATTACATTTTTTTTTTGGGTTCAATCATTTCCATCCTGGAGTCTTTATTGCCAACAAACTGATCGGCTGAATGTGCAAGAGGAGTAAGAATGGATTAGTGTGTAAGATTGATTTAGACAAGGACTAGGATCCAGTGTTTCTCAAGCACAAAGGGAATTTTCTGCCCGAGGCGCAAGGCGTAAAGTGAGGCGTCCGCTTTTTCAAAATTCAAAGAAAGGTGCAAAAATGAAAAAAATGCAAAATATTAAACACAATATTAATTAAAAAAATTTAAACTTAAATTTTAAAATATTGTTTTAAAAAACCTATTATTTATCTCAGATTAAAATATGTAAACATAACATGTAAAACATGTTTAAAATGAAAATTTAAAAATAGAATCAAGCATAACATATAAAACATATTCAAGCATGTAAAACTCTCATTCTATTTATTTTTCCCCAATTGCATTATTTCAAATAGCTAATGTGATGTAGAACATTACGCATTCTTGATTCTATGAGATGCCTTTCTACCAAGCCCCCCTAGGCAAGCCCAAATAAGTCCATATTAGGGTCTTAAATTCTTAATTCCTATAAAAAGATTTTATAATTTTAATTGTCTTTTAAAAATACCTTTTATTAGGATGAATGAATGAGCAAAGCAAATAGGGGGTTTTCTCTGCTCTAGTCTCATTCATTCATCCTAATAAAAATATTTTTAAAAGACAAATAAAAATTATAAAATCTTTTTTTATAGGGATTAAGAATTTAAGACCCTAAATACGGACTTGTTTGGGCTTGTTGCGAGGGGCTTCCCAGAGCCCCCATCCCAGCTCTAGGCATAAAAAAAAAAAAACAGAAAAATGCACAAATTTTCAAAAGGCATGTGCCTGGGCTGAAGTGTAAGGTGCACCAGGCAAATGCCTTTTGAAAGTGCTGCGCATGGGACTTAGGCAAAGCGTATACCCTAAATGCATCTCACCTGTGCACTTAGGCATGCTTTTTAAGTCATTGCTAGGATCACATCAATTGGGCTTTCTTGGATTACATGCTTAGCAGAGTGCACAGGGTAAAAAAAGTAGGAACTAATTTATCAAAAGAAAATGTAGGAACTAGATCAAGTTCAAGTTATGCGTTTCAACTTCAAAGTTTCTCTGGACCTACTAAAGGTAACTTCCTTAGTTTGAGAGGCTTGAGACAAAGTGACCTTCTGTCACTTTTTCTCTTTATTGTAGTAATGGAAGGACCGAGTAGAATGACTGCTAAGGTAACTGATGGAGGCCTTATAGAAGGTTTTGAAATGGGTAGTAATGGCCTGAAGATTGCTCTATTGCACTTTGCTGATGATACTCTGTTCTTCCGTGATTTAGCTGACAAGGTTCATCACGTCAGATATCACATTTGTTGGCTTGAGATTGTCTCAGGCTTGAAGGTTAATTAGCTAAAAGTGAGATGCTGCCGATCAG